GAGGTGGGGACAGGAGGTGAGGACATGGAGGTGAGAACATGGAGGTGGGGACAGGACATGGAGGTGGGGACATGGTGGGGACATGGTGGGGACATGGTGGGGACAGGAGGTGAGAATGTGGAGGTGGGGACGTGGTGGGGACGTGGTGGGGACATGGAGATGGGGACAGGACATGGAGGTGGGGACAGGAGGTGAGAGCATGGAGGTGAGAACATGGAAATGAGGACATGGAGATGGCACATGGAGATGAGAACATCTGGACCTGCCCGGCCACCGCGCCGCTCTTTGTCCTCCAGGGCGGGCTGGACACGGAGATCAAGATGGTGGAAGACGATGGAAGAACCTACTTCTACCAGATGTGGTACGACCAGGAGTACGCGCGCTTCGAGAGCCCGCCCAGCACGCGGCCCACCGAGGACAACAAGTACAAGTCAGTTCTTGGGTGGAAACCACCCAAATTTTGGTTTCTCCCCACCTCCCAAAAAAGGTTTTTTGGAGAACCTGGTGGTGTCCCAGCAGGTTCTGAGAACTTGGTGGTGTCCCAGCAGGTTCTGCATGAGCTGCGCGCGCCTGGACGAGGTGAGGCACAAGGAGATCCCCAAGGTGGCCGAGCCCTTGGAGGAGAGCGATGGGAAGATGTTCTACGCCGTGGCCACCAAGAACGGCGTCCAGTACCGCGTCGGCGACGGCGTCTACCTGCTGCCAGATGCCTTCTCCTTCAGGTGGGTTGGAGGATCTCCTCACCTTCGGGATGGGATTCTGGGGCTTTTCCCACCTGGCAGTGAAGGTCTGGTGTCCTGAATTTCCAGAAGGTTTTGGGAATTTTGGGGCGGAGAGGTGGAATTTTGGGAATTGCAGGATGGGAAGGTTTGAAATTGGGAGATCCTTCAAAGATCTTGAGGTTCTAAATTTGAACCCAAAGATTTGGGAGGGATAAATTGGAATTGTGGAGTTGAAGATCTAAAAGCTCTCCAAGTTCCTTCAGTTCCAAATCTTCAAATTCCAACTTTTGGTGGACAAACCAAAGTCAGGGCTCTAAAACCCCTCCAAGATCTCCAAATTCCAACTTTGGATGGAGAAACCCAACTCAGGTCCATCAAACCCCTCTGAGATCCCCAAATTCCAACTTTTGATGGCCAAACCCAACTCAGGTCCATCAAACCCCTCCAAGATCTCCGAATTCCAACTTTGGATGGACAAACCCAACTTTTGATGGCCAAACCCAACTCAGGTCCATCAAACCCTTCCAAGATCCCCAAATTCCAACTCTCCACCCAACTTTTGATGGACAAACCCAACTTT